TTCATTTTTTTTGCATGTATCTGTTCAATTTTCCCAACACCATTTATTAAAGAGACTATCTGTATTTCACTGTATGCTCTTGCCTCCTTTGTTAAATATTAATTGAGTGTAATGGCTTGGGTCAATTTCTGGGTTCTCTGTTCTGTTCCATTGATCTATATGTCTATTCTTGGGCCAGTACCAGGCTATTTTGATTTAATGCAAAGAGAGCCCACTGTATAGGAGAACATATTTGCCAATGATACATCTGATAAGGGGTTAATTTCCAAAATACATAAGGAACTTCTACAACTCAAACTATCCAAGTAAAAAAAATATATATATATTTTATTGATTTTTTTACAGAGAGGAAGGGAGAGGGATAGAGAGTTAGAAACATCAATGAGAGAGAAACATGGATCAGCTGTCTCCTACACACCTCCCACTGGGGATGTGCTCGCAACCAAGGCACATGCCCTTGACTGGCATCAAACCTGGGACCTTTCAGTCCACAGGCCGACGCTCTATCCACTGAGCCAAACCGATTAGGGCCATTTTTTTTAAACTTACTTTTTTGTTGTTGAGTTGTGAGTTCTTTTCTTTTTTTAATTTATTTTATTGCTTAAAGTATTACAAAGGGTATTACATATGTGTCCTTTTCTTTTCCCCCGCCCTTGACAATCCCCTGGCCTCCCCTACCCCCCAATGTCTTATGTCCATTGGTTATGCTTATATGCATGCATACAAGTCCTTCGGTTGATCTCTTACCCCCCGCTCCTGCCCCCCAACCCTCCCCAGCCTTCCCGCTGCAGTTTGACAATCTGTTTGAGGCAGCTCTGCCTCTGTATCTATTATTGTTCATAAGTTTATAATGGTCTTTATTATCCATGAATGAGTGAGATCATGTGGTATTTTTCCTTCATTGACTGGCTTATTTCACTTAGCATAATGCTCTCCAGTTCCATCCATGCTGTTGCAAATGGTAAGAGTTCCTTCTTTTTTACAGCAGCATAGTATTCCATCGTGTAGATGTACCACAGTTTTCTAATCCATTCATCTACTGATGGGCACTTAGGCTGTTTCCAGATCTTAGCTATGGTGAATTGTGCTGCTATGAACATATGGGTGCATATATCCTTTCTGATTGGTGTTTCTGGTTTCTTGGGATATATTCCTAGAAGAGGGATCACCGGGTCAAATGGGAGTTCCATTTTTAGTTTTTTGAGGAAACTCCATACCAGTCTGCATTCCCACCAGCAGTGCATGAGTGTTCCTTTTTCTCCACATCCTCTCCAGCACTTGTCGTTTGTTGATTTGTTGATGATAGCCAGTCTGACAGGTGTGAGATGGTACCTCATTGTTGTTTTGATTTGCATCTCTTGGATGATTAGTGACTTTGAGCATGTTTTCATATGTCTCTTGGCTTTCTGAATGTCCTCTTTTGAAAGGTGTCTATTTAGATCCTTTGCCCATTTTTTGATTGGATTGTTTATCTTCCTTTTGTTAAGTTGTATGAGTTCCCTATAAATTTTGGAGATTAGGCCCTTATCAGATGACATTGGCAAATATGTTTTCGCACGCAGTGGGTTTTCTTGTTGTTTTGTTGATGGTTTCTTTTGCTGTGCAGAAGCTTTTTATTTTGATATAGTCCCATTTGTTCATTTTCTCTTTAGTTTCTAGTGCCCTAGGAGCTGTATCAGTGAAGAAATTGCTTCGGCATATGTCTGAGATTTTATTGCCTTTGGATTCTTCTAGAATTTTTATGGTTTCCCGTTGTACATTTAAGTCCTTTATCCATTTTGAGTTTATTTTTGTGTATGGTGTAAGTTGGTGGTCTAGTTTCATTTTCTTGCATATATCTGTCCAGTTTTCCCAACACCATTTATTGAAGAGACTATCTTGACTCCATTGTATGTTCTTGCCTCCTTTGTCAAATATTAATTGAGCATATTGGTTCGGGCCAAAGTTGTGAGTTCTTTGTATATTTTGGATATTATTGGAAGTATCATTGGCAAATATCTTCTCCCATTCAGGTGGTTGCCTTTTTGTTTTCTTGATGCTTTCCTTTGCTGTGCAGAAGGTTTTTAGTTTCTTGTAGCTCCATTTGTTTATTTTTGTTTTTCTCTCATTTTGAGTTAAATTCACAAGAACACCACTGAGACCAAAGTCTAGAAGCTTAGTGCTTATGTTTTGATCTATGAATTTTATTTTTTTGGAGCTTACATTCAAGTCTTTAATTCATTTTGAGTTAATTTTTTGAATATGGTATAAGATAGTGGTCTAGTTTTATTCTTTTGTATGTAACATTCTTCAAAATTTTTTTTTTTATTGATATCAGAGAGGAAGGGAGAGGGAAAGAGAGATAGAAACATCAATTGATTGGCTGCCTCCTGCAAGCCCCTGGGGATCGAGCCCGCAACCCTGGGCATGTGTCCTTGACTGGAATTGAACCAGGGACCCTGTAGTCCACAGGCCGACACTCTGTCCACTAAGCCAAACCAGCTAGGGCTGTATGTAGCATTCTAGTTTTCCCAACACCATTTATTGAAGAGAATTTTCTTTCTCCATTGTATGTTCTGGGCTCCTTTGTCATAAATTAGTTGTCCATATGTCTATCAGTTTAGTTCTGGGTTCTCAATTCTCTTCCATTGGTCTTTGTGTCTATTTCTTTGCCAATACTATATTGTTTTGATTACTTTGGAATAAAGTTTGAAATTGGGGAGAGTGATGCCTCTGGCTTTGTGTTTTTTGTCTCAGAATTTTTTGCCTATGTGGGGTCCTTTGTGTTACCTTACAAATTTTAGGAATTTTTGTTCTACTTCTGTGAAAAATGTTATTGTCCTTTAGGCATGCCATTCTTTTTTTAAAAAAAAAAATATATTTTATTGATTTTTTACAGAGAGGAAGGGAGAGGGATAGAGAGTTAGAAACATCGATCAGCTGCCCCCTGCACGCTCCCCACTGGGGATGTGCCCGCAACCAAGGTACATCCCCTTGACCGGAATCGAACCTGGGACCCTTGAGTCTGCAGGCCAATGCTCTATCCACTGAGCCAAACCGGCCAGGGCAAACATGCCATTCTTAATGGTCTCCTTACTTCTGCCTCTGTCTTCTTTCTCCTACTGTCAACAGATGGTCATTGGTGCCAACTCAATGCCAATAGGAATCCCCAATTTGGAGAGTGGTGAAGAAAATTTTTTTCAGTGCAAACAGTTCAGTTGTGATACAGCACAGCTATGAGAACAGCATGGCTGTGGAACAGCTCAATAGCGTTACAGCTTAACTATGAAGCGGCATGACTGTAGAACAGCACTGTTGTATGGCAGCCTTGGTGCAAGTGGCTCTGAGACAAGGCTCCACTCCTTCCCACCCCCCATTGTCCGGGCCCCCATCAGCCCCCATCGGGGCAGGGCAGCTGGGCCCCACCCTTGCTTGAATTCAAGTACCAGGCCTTTAGTACAGAGATAAGACCCCACCCTTGGTCTGATTGTTCTATCCTCATGTAAATGAAGACTCTTAAATCCTCTTGGCTCCATTGGTCCAGAAAACACTGTCCTGATTGGTTAGAATGGAGCAGCTCTGATTGTTTGAATGGAGTAGCATCTGGAGATGCACACCTCTGACTAGACAGGGAAAGTCTCAGTCCTGTTGGCTGAAATACAGTTCCAGGAGTACTTTGTAAGGGTTGGCTTTGATGGCAGGAACACAGTGCAGTCAGGCCAGTTCGGTGCCAGAGGCAAGCAGCGAGGTGTAGGAGGCAGGCAGCCTAGTGCAGGCTTCTCGCTGAAGCTTGGCTTATGAGAGACCCCCGTTCAGAAATAGCTGTTAGGCTCTGTTTTTAATTTGAGCCAAGTTAGCCACCAGGGGTCCTTCTTAGTAGATATCTTCTCTCTCAGGCTGGACAATACTCATGTTCACACAGAAGCCATGCGATTTTGTCATATCAGACCATAAGTTCCCTTTGCTAAATACCCTCAAGTAGAAACCCTGCCTTTACAAGGGGCAACGGGGCCCTACATACCTTTCAGTCCATCTCTAACTTCTCTGTGACCTCACATACCATACTTCCCACGTGTACTCTTCCCATCACATTGAAACATCCCGGGCATCCTCTAGCCTTAGGGCCTCAGCAATCTGCTCCCACACATGTCTGCCTGTCTCTTTCCCTGACTTCCTTTTGGCCTTCACTTAAAATGTCACCTCCCCACTGACCTTTCCTGGCCAACCTCCTATACGCTCTGTCCCTGTCGCTTACATTGCTCCACTTTAGCATTTGTAACTACCTAACATTTATAATATTTAAGTTTTTAAATTGTTTTCCAGCTGTGAATTCCAAAGGGGCAGGGATTTTGTTGTTGTTGCCTCTGTCCTCCCGATCCCCAGTTGTGACTGCTGTATTCTCGGCCCCTAGGACAATTTCTGGCAATGAGTGGATATTTAATAAAAATTTCTTGACTGGCCCTAACCATTTTGGCTCAGTGGCTAGAGAGTCAGTCTGCAGACTCAAGGGTCCCAGGTTCGATTCCGGTCAAGGGCATGTACCTTGGTTGCGGGCACATCCCCAGTAGGAGACGTGCAGGAGGCAGCTGATCGATGTTTCTCTCTCATCGATGTTTCTAACTCTCTATCCCTCTCCCTTCCTCTCTGTAAAAAAAATCAATAAAATATTTTTAAAAAAATTTCTTGACTGTATAAATGATGGGAAGATAGTAACCAGAGGTCTTATGACTCCCAGTTTCCTCAACTATGATCTGAGTTATTGCTATTGCCTTGTCGGCCTCCAGTTGTTTCCAGAAGAGGATGCTGGACCAAGAAGCAAATCCCACGGGGATCAGCGAGGTCGGCGAGCGGCTCACACCTGAGGCTTGCACTTTGCAGAAATACATCAGAGGCAGTGGAGGCACCTTGGTCCACACTGGCAGCAACATACGCCGCCGCACACGCCATACCCGTCCCCGGGGACTAATCGGCCCGCCCCGCCCCGCGCACTTCCGGTCCCGCCCCGCCTGGCCCGCTCCCGGCTCCCAGCTCCGCCGGGCTCCTGGTTTGGCCTGCGGTCCCGGCGCCGAGGACCAGGGGGCGGCGCCCGGCGGCCCGGAGAAGCGCAGCATCGGGACCTTCTGACACAAAGAGCGGCGGGCGGACGCGGGTGGGAGCCGCGCGCCTGCCCAGTGCCCTTGGGCCGCGTCCCTGGGACCCGCGCGCGGGCGGAGACGGTGCGTCCCCCGCTGCCCAGGTGAGCGGGGTCGGGGCGGCCTGCGGAGCGCACGTGCGGGCCGGGACCGGGTGCGGGCAGGGCCGGGCGCTCCTCTGTGGGGGCCGCGGAGCCTGGAAGTCAGCAGGTGGGACGCAAGTGTAGGCGCCCGCGACCCTGGACGGAGCGGAGACGGGGTGAAAACCTGCGGTTCTCCTGCCCCGCGTCCCTCGCCGCGGCGCTCGGGGGCTGCGGCTGCGTGGGGTCCGCGTCTTCCCCTCGCTGCGGGTTTGGGGGCTGCAGGCTCGGTCAGGGTGACCTGGCGCCCCGCGTTTCCCGTCGCCGCCGAGGGCCGGGGTGGTCCTGCGGGAGGCGGCTGCTTGGCCAGCCTTTCTGAGCCGGGTCCTACCATCCGGCCGTTTCCCAAGTGTCGGTGCCCCTTTGAGCAGCGTTTGCAGCGTCCCGGCTGCTTTGCTGAAGCGGGCGTTCAACTCCCGGCGTGCGATCCGGGGTGGGGATGGGGAGGAGCCGGTGTTTTCACGGGGAGCGTGGAGGGTGGCCGACTGGGGAGAGACGGGGGAGAGCCGTGGCCTAGGAGGGTGACTGCAGCCTCTTTGCCCCCCAGATGCGCCGCCGCCGGTGACCAGGTCCTCCTTTGCCCATCCTGCCCCTGCCAACTCCAATCCTTCAGGCTCCCCGGGTCACCTCCAATCCTCAGACAAGTCGAATTATTGGATAGAATCATCTCCTGTAAATAAGATTGCGTTCCACCATAGAACAACTTTTTAGGATGTACCTGTTTCCTTTTCTTGTGTTAGGAGTTTGCACTTGGAAAACGGTTTGAACTAAGAAGCCACTGTCAGGGGGCAGAAGAGTCCGTTTTATCTGTTGTACTATAGTTGTTTGGCAGAATCGCCCCTTTCCTCACCACAGAGGCTGCAGGAGTCTTCTCAGTCTCTTTAGATGTTTCACGCGCATAAATATGCCCCGGGGCGTTGTTAGGCGCTCCCTGGAGGTCTGTGTTTGCACAGGATGGAAGTGAGGCAGGGTCATTTGGGTCCTGTCTGCTCTAGGAGACTTAGGCCAAGCTATGGAACAGGGAGGCAGGGGCGGGGGTCCGCGGGAGAGCTATGATGGCCTGGAGAAGCTCAGAGGCCCCATCACCAACACTGTTAATCGGAGGGAAGGGTATGAGTTGAAGGTAGTTGGTGGTGACTTTCTTCTTAGAGGCCTTTGCTGTGGATTCCAGGTTTTACACATTGGACTTTGAATATTTTTAAAAGAAGAAGATTAAAAAAAATGAATGATAGTTAAAACTGGGCTATTAAAAACAACACTATCAGCAGCCTCACAGTTTTAATAGCTTTGTGCAAGAGAGTGAGTGTGTGTGTGTATATATATATATTTAAGAGTATGTGTATATTAAAAGAGAAATGCTAAGGCAGTTAGAGAAGCAGACTACCACCGTGGTGCCCCTGTTGTTTGATGTACAAATCATCCAGTGGCTTAAAATATTACAAATCTAACTGGTCTATATTGGCAAAACAAAGCTGCTTTGCCACAAAGGTGTATGTGTTTAATTATAGTTTGTATTCAATAAAAACTAGAGGATAATCATTTTGTAGAATGAAAAAATAACCTTTTCCAAAGACCTTGAACTTCAGATAACATTTAATACCATCATATTAGAAAGAGAACACTTTATAGAGGAAAAGTTAGGCTTTTAAATGAAGAGTTTATATAAACTTTGATGGAATACTGTTTTCCCTAAATCATTTCCCTGGTGAACTGACAGTCATTTGCTAACAGCATTTGTAAGTCCCTAGTGTTAGTGCATCCTTTGTTCTGAGTCCTTAAGAATGCTTGGTGGTGGACAATAGAGTAACAAAAGAATTGCAAAGTATATTAACCATAAGTATTCAAGGCATTTAGATCTTGCCCTTTCATGGTGATTGACTTTGTATACTAGTTTTTTAATTTTATTTTTTCTTTGAAGATGAAACGTGTGACATTTGAGACTTGGGGCATCTGAGAGGTCCTTCTGATCACATTCTTTCTACTTTGGACAGTTAGGTTTGGTTTTGCCATAAACAGGTGGTTGCTAGATATCTTTTCTTCCCTGGCTCAAGAAAAGTCTAGAAAAAGGAGCCAAAACACAGTGTCCTGGCCTCCCTCCTGATTAGAGGGAATGGCGCCCTCCAGCCTGGAAAGGCATTTCCAGAGCCATGGCCCCTTCCTTGTTCTCCAATTCCATGGTCATTCCGTAATGAATGGCAGTGGCCATAACTGCACTCTAGATTTGGGTTTAGCTTAGTCCTTGGTTTCAAGTACAAATTAGGAATTCAGGCGCAAGGCCAGAGATTTTGTTATTCACAAGCAAGAGGCCAAACCTTTGGGTCAGACTACCTGGAGCTATGTGGAGGGTGGGGTTAGCAGAAGGTTTTTGCTTCCCCTCTTTGGGATAAAGTTGAGCCTCCTGGTGAGAGTTCCCCGCCAAAGGATTCTGACTGTTGTCTGAACCATGGGCAGAGATATCTTATGGAGCATGTTCTCTATGTTTATCTTCTTTTCACAAAAGTTGGAGCATGCCTCTGGTGCTGCCTATTTTTTGTCTCTCTCAATCCTGGATTGTCCTCTAGGCTTTAGGGATAAAATGACTTCTAGCTTCTCAGTCTGATTCATAGTCTGCCTTCAGTTGAAATCATTTGTTTGTCAAATAAACCAAAGTCTTCCAGGTAACTGTTATGCACTCAAACTGGAAAAGCTTTGGCATATGCGTTGACTGTAATTTTGTATTTTCTTTTTTTTTAAAATATATTTTATTGATTTTTTTATAGAGAGGAAGGGAGAGAGATAGAGAGCTAGAAACATCGATGAGAGAGAAACATTGATCAGCTGCCTCCTGCACATCTCCTACTGGGGATGTGCCTGCAACCCAGGTACATGCCCTTGACCGGAATCGAACCTGGGACCTTTCAGTCCGCAGGCCGACGCTCTATCCACTGAGCCAAACCGGTTTCGGCAGTAATTTTGTATTTCATTAGGCAAAACTGACAAATCTTTTTGTGTTATGAGAAACACTTTTAATTCAGTTACTGTATTGGAGATCTGCTTTGTTTACTAAGTTAAGATTTTGGTGTGTTGGAGTTTCTCAGAATGGTCATCATTTATTGTTGTTGTTAAAGATCTGAAAGGAAATCATTCTCCACAGTTTCTAGATTTTCAAGGTTCCAGTAAGGAATTTTACATTTGTGGGTGTCCATCAGTTAGTATGTTTTTAGCTGCCGTGATGGAATACCTAGTCTCAGATTAAACAAATAGAGAGGTCCTAGAAGGAAAACCCAGGGCTTCAGGATGGGTGGTTTCCCTGGCTGAAATCAGTTGGGGGGCCGGAAATCACTCCGCTTCTTCATAGCGTCAGATTGGTGGCAGCTGTCTCACTCACCGGGGGAACGAGAGGGAGGTTTGGCTTTTGTAGCTCTCCCTTTAAAAACAACAACACATTTTTCAAGTATAGTTGACATACAGTATTATATTAGTTTCAGGTGTACAGCATAGTGATTAAATATTTACATGACTATTGGGGAAGTGATCTCCCCAATAAGTCTCGTACCCATCTGACACTATTGCAATATGATTGACTATGTTCTTATGCTGTACTTCACATCCCCGTGACTTGTTATAAGTGGCAATTTGCACCTCTGGATCCCTTTCACCTTTTCACCCATTCCCTCCTCAACTTCTCATCCATCTGGTGACCATCAGTTTGTTCTCTGTACCTATGAGTTTATTTCTGTTTTGATTGTTCTTTTTTTTTTCAGAGTTTTTATATAGGTGAAATGATAGGATATTTGTCTTTATCTTATTTTACTTAGCATAGTACCCTCTGGTTTCATCCATGTGGTTGCAAATGGTAAAATTTCATTCCTTTTATGGCTGAGGGATATTCCATTGTATGTGTGCCCCATATTATCTTTATTATTCATCTATTGATGGACATCTAGGTTACTTCTATATCTTGGCTATCTATATATAAAAGGCTAACATACAAAGTGTCCCCTTGGGAATTCGACCGGGAGATCGCTTGCTATGATGTGCGCTGACCACCAGGGGGCGGCACGGAACATGGTGGGTGACCAGCTGTGGTGGTCGTGGTGGGGCACTGGGGGAGGGAGGTAAGGAGGAGGCGGGGAGGCGGGGAGGCGCGGAACCTGATGGGCCCTGATCTCCGGCCTAGGGACCCTACCCATACCTGAATTTCATGCACCAGGCCTCTAGTTATAAATAAGGCTACAAGAACATAAGGGTGTGTATATCTTTTTGAGTGAATGTTTTGGATTTCTTCAGGTTAATACCCAGAAGTGGAATTTCTGGGTCATATGGTAGTTCTATTTTTAATTTTTTTGAGGAACCCCCATTCTGTTTTCCATAGTGGATACACCAGTCTGCATTCCCACCAACAGTGCATGAGGGTACTTTTTTCTATATATCCTCACCAGCACTTTTTGTTTATTGATTTATTGATGATAGCCATTCTGACAGGTGTGAGGTGATAATCTCATTGCAGTTTTAATTTGCATTTCTCTGATGATTAGTGACATTGTACATCTTTTCATATGTGTTGACCATCTGTATGTCCTCTTTGGAGAAGTGTTTATTCAGGTCCTCTGCCCATTTTGTAATTGGATTGTTTGCTTTTTTGGTGTTAAGATGTATGAGTTCTTTCTTTTTTTTTAAATTTATTTTTTAATTTTAATTTTAATTTTTTTTTAGCTTTTATAAGATGTATGAGTTCTTTATAAATTTTGGATATTAACCCCTTAGCGAATATATTCTCCCATTCAGTAGGTTTTCTATTTATTTATTTATTTATTTATTTATTTATTTATTTTTGTTTTCTTTTTATTTAGATGATAGTTTCCTTTGCTGTGCAAAAATACTTTAGTTTGATGTACTCCCATTTTTTATTTTTCTTTTGTTTCCCTTGCCCAAGGATACATATCCAAAAAATATTACAAAGAGTAATGTCAAAAAGTTTGCTG